ACAGGTTTATTCTACTTCTGGTCTTTTTGCATATGTGAATGTGCACGTGTATGCACACACACACACACAGAGACACAAGTTTGCACCCAACAGACTGTCAAATACATTTCTACGTCCAGATTAATGCAAAACACATAGACCATTCAATTTAGCATACAAAAATATAATGTGTGCTTATTTATTAAATATTACCAGACATTAAAAGTATAATGATTCAAATAATCAGCCCTGGTAGGTAAAAGCAGAGACATGGCAGGATTACATACTGTTCTGACTCAAGCCTCATTCCAGGCAAACAAAGACCAAACAGAGATAAAAGCAAAACCTTTTAAATGTGTCTCTTTGAATTCTGTTCATTCACAGTAAAAACACTATTAAAACTAATTGTCCCAGATAAGAACAAGCCTTGCCAAGGTTGTGCAAGACTGCCAAGAACACTAGATTAAATTGCAAGTAAATATTCAAAACCAAAAGTCTCCAAACACAAAACCAGGATAGTCTGGACTTCCATTCTTTGCTTCTGGCAAAGAATCCCACCTCTGAGGGCTGGCTTTTATCCCGTAAGGGAGGGGCCATCACCTTGCAGCCTTACTCCTGAGTCGCCCGTTGATGCTGCAGCTACTCTTCAAGCAGCCCTGCGCGCATGCACACTGGGCACAGGCTCCTTGGGGTCCTCTGCATCACTGCTGCCAGCCTCCAATAATCTCTGAAGGCAGCACTCCACTCTCTGACAGTCCTGGCCCCATCCCTGCATCACACGCAGGCCCCTCATCTGAGTCCTCACTCTCCGAGATCTCAGCCATCTGCACCTGTTGCCAGCGAACCACAACACGTACATATACACAGACACATACCTATATATACCTATATATCTAGGTACCGTATTTGCCGGCGTATAAGATGACTTTTTTGCCCTGAAAAACATGCCTCCAAGTGGGGGGGGTCGTCTTATACGGCGAGTATATAACAAACTCTATATTTTGAGTGGAAATGTTGGGGGCTCGTCTTATACGCCGGCAAATACGGTACATAGTTTGTCTCCTAAACAAGCCTTAAACAAACTTAAAGAAGGAACAGAATTCCGTTTCTTTCTCTCTCTCTCTCTCTCTCTCTCTCTCTCTCGATCCAAAACAGCAATGCTTCAGAGCCAGCCGCGAGGCGGAATGCGAGAGTTTCGACTCGGCTTTTCCAATCCCCAGGCCAGGTCTTGGGAGGACAAGCGGGGAGGAAAGAAACTTGCTGGCCGGGCGGCGGCTCCTATCCCACTTCCTCCTCCGCAGCTTCTGGTAGGCTTGCAGGAAAGCCGAGCCGCGCAGCCGGGGGCCTCCTAGCTTCTCGGAAGGCTCGAGAGACGCCCCCGAGGCAGCGCGGAAGGCAGGGCTCGCCAGCCGCGGGACAAAGACGCTTCCTGCCTTGCCGCCATAATGCCAGGTCAGTAGCTCCTTTTCCGGCCAGTCGAGCTAAGGCAAGAGACCCGCTTGAGCCGGGGAAGCCCACTTGCGAGACCGCGAAGTTCGGTCTCTAAAGCCTCTGTGGGTTTCGCGCAAGTTCGCACCGGTTCCTGACAGGAAAAGCGTTTAGCGGAATTCCGCAGAGCTTCAACTCCGAGGCGCTTTGGAGCGTTGCTCATTGGGAGGGGCGTCTTCGGTGCATGTTTTAAATGGGTGCGAAGTACGAGTAAGTTTGTATTAAAGTGCCAATCCAAGACTCGTAGTTTTCAGGCTTGTGTTTATTATCATTTGCAGTCTCTGTATATTCAGAGTTGTATCGGGTACTTTCGATCAATTTATCGCAAGTGTTGTCGTGGCATAGGCATACTGTAACAATAAGTATTATATGAATATAATAATGAAATCAGTATGTGGCTTTGTGTCGAGTGAGTCATGCTGTATGACTCACTGGCATGGTAACAGAGTCACTACTTCCATACTTTTGGCAATGCCTCTCACAGAAACTTTTACTACAGAAATCATAGTTAACCCTATTATACCAAACCCCACTTAACATGCAGAGGATTCAAATATATTCCAGCCATTGATTGCCCTTTTAGTAGGTAGAACTACATGTGAGTTTCAGCAAAAGCACTGAATTCAACGGCGATTCTTAAACGTTATGAAGACTTAAACGTTAGGAAGCCTTATGAAGACTGGAAAATAGAGTTGCTACAATTCTAAGGAAACTTTAACATTCTTTCCATAATCCTACAAGGCTTCTCCAAGTTCCTTGTTGTTTCCACTGAATCACTCCTTCCTTTCCTTGTTGCCCAGCATATCATATATTCTGCATAAAGCACACAGGCTGAATCATCTTCTTCTCCCCGCCTTTTCTATCTTAGTGCTTCTCATCCTTAGCAAGATTAAGATGTCTGGACTTCAGCTCCCAGAATTCCCCAGCCTGCATGCTGGGAATTGAAGTTCAGACACCTTAAAGTTGCTGAGGTTGAGAAAAACTGCTCGGGAACACTTGTTTCCTTCTTGTCTGCTTCCTAGATGTCATTACTGTATTTGCCGGCGTATAAGATGACTTTTTTGCCCTGAAAAACATGCCTCCAAGTGGTGGGGGGGTCGTCTTATACAGCGAGTATATAACAAACTCTATATTTTGAGTGGAAATGTTGGGGGCTCGTCTTATACGCCCAGTCGTCTTATACGCCGGCAAATACGGGTATATATATCTATAGATACATATACATACATACATACACATATGTGTGTATGTATGTATGTATGTATGAATCATTGTTTGAATACAAAGCGGAAAGTGAAAACTTGAGAGTTCACAAGGTTGATACTCTATGGAACAAAGCTGTGTGAATCTAGATGTTCTGCTTTGGCTGCCATGAAGCCTCCTCCCAGAAGGTGACAGGGAAAACTGGTCATGGAGACGATGTGTAGCATCCCTGACAATACTGAGGGCCCTGGTTAAGCAGCGCTTATATGCCATGTCCTGGATAGAAGGAAGTGAACTTCCAATTATCTTTTCTGATGGCGTCACACAGTCTCCATCTTGGAAGGACATCCATCAGAGTGGCTGCTTTCCAAAGAGATCTGCCCCAAAATATGTGACTGAGCCACGACAGGGGATGCGGTGTGGGACCCAGTGAAATGGAAAAGGAACCTAATGCCTATGGGGAAGCAGTGCGGTGGGAAGTGAAGCATGGAGCACCTCAGCAGTGAGGGAGGCCCTGGGAGCAGAGGTGGTATTCAGCAGGTTCTGACCAGTACTGGAGAACTGGTAGCGGAAATTTTGAGTAGTTCGGAGAACTGGCAAATACTACCTCTGACTGGCCCCACCCCCATCTATTCTCTGCCTCCCAAGTTCCAGGTGATCAGCTGGGTCTTCTTTTGTTGCCCTACACAGGATAATGGAGCTGGAAAGCAGGTTAATGGGGTGCGGAGGGAATGGGATTTTGCAGTAACCTTCCCCCTGGAGTGGGGAGGGAATGGAGATTTTACAGTATCCTTCCCCTGCCACGCCCACCAAGCCATGGCCATAGAACCAGTAATAATTTTTTTTGAATCCCACCACTGGAAAAGAGCCTTCCTCTGCCATTGCCCCCACCCTATTGAATATCTTGCCCCCAGAAATGAGGTTGGCCCCTACTCTTTGGGCCTTCTGATATAGTGTGAAGACCTGGCTCTGCTAATCGTTATGGTTATCAAAGAATGGCACACAATCCAGGAATTGGCTGGTGGCTTGAGGTCACGCTGTCAGGGTTCCAAGTAACATGCCCATAGCAACCAAAATGGCTGAGGCCATTTTGAGTCTTCAGTGCTGACACACGCCTTCTGCCTTTTTAACTTGTCTTTTAATCTTGTTCTCACTTTATTCTTAATTTTGTTTTTAACTGTCTTTCATATGGTTTTATTATTTGTACCTGTAAATTGCCCGGATATACTTGGATAGTCTCTAAATTAAAAACAAAACAAGGCAGAAAAGTTGATGGATTTGAGATATATTTCGTAATTTCAAGCAGCTTTGCAGTTCCTTATCCTAGTTGCCTAGCAAATGGAACAGAGTATTGTTAGTTCCTTGTCACATGGTGCCCAGGAACTATGCCATTGAATGCAATCTGTGTTGATCTGAATGTTGACTGACCCAGTAATAGAGATTTGTTTCCTAGTTTTCTTGGATACGGCCTGCCTGACTTGGGAAATCTTGCTGTTTTCTGCACATTTAGTTTTCAGAAAAGATGGAGGTACCATGACTCTTCAGATACGTTGAAACATTTTCTCACTCCATAGAGTGACTTGCAGGATGTAAAGTACATTCTGTTAGAAAAACTTTTGCAAAAATGAAAGTAGTGACTATTGAACCAAGTATCCGGATAGGTAGTGGGGTGCTCTTTATCAGACGTATACCAGCAGATAGCCATCCATTTGGGATGTTTTAAGTTGGACCTCTGCATTGAGCAAGAGGTTAGAATCAAGGACCCTTCCTCTATTCTGCTCCTTGTAGTATCCCTTAAGGCCTAAGTGTTCTTCCTTCCTTGACTAGAGTTGTGCGTCTTCCCAAAAAGCAACTTGAATATCAAGTCTCAGTTTCCAACACAAAATCTATATCCAAAGGCTTGCCAACCCTTTATATCCATATAGTATGCTGCTGATCCATACAGTGTGCTGCTGATCTAGTCTTTATCCCTTTTGGGGCGAGGTCTACTGATAACCATTCTGATCTGGAAACCACAAGGTATTTATTATTATAGCAATAACAACAGCACTGAAAACTTATATATCGCTCTATAGTGCTTTTATAGCACTCTCTGAGAGGTTTACAATATTGCTCCAACAATCTGGACCTTCATTTTACCAACCCTGGAATGATGGAAAGCTGAATCAACCTTGAGTCTTCAGGATCGAATTCCAGACTGTGGGCAGAGTTAGCCTGCAATACTACCAGGGCTCCTATTATAGGCTTTTAATATATCTGTTTTACATATGTGGTTTTTGAAATTATTCATAGCTAATATGATTTTTATCATCTGGAAACAGAAGAACCACTAGAGTAACCAAAGAATTTTATTAAAGTTTAGCACTCTTAGAAGAATACATTCCAAATTCTTGAATGAGAATCCTACATAGAGTTAACTACAAAAACATACAATTCCACCAAAGCTTTAATGCATCATGTCTGGAACCAAAGAAAGAATTGAGTGTAATACAGCATACACACAGATTATTAAATCCCCCCCTCCAAATGTTAAAAAAATATTCTGTTTTTTCAAACGGGAGACATTAACTTGAAATGGTTTCAGAAGAAATATAAGACAAATTAAATTATGGGTCATTTTTCTAGTGATCTCATCAGAGAAGTACTGTAGTATATGCTTATAAAAATAATCATATCATATTCAATTTAGGCAGAAAAAAAGTTTATAAAGATTGCATGGAGAGGCTGATCCGAAAAGAAATGGCAACATAATCAACACCAACAGTCCACTGTGTACTCCCTTCTTTTTCAGGACTTTTAGTATTCAATGCTGAAAGGATATTCCTTGTGATTGATACACCTGAAGAGAGAGAGAATTGGACATTGGAATTAAATGGCACTTAAGGCTGCCTTGGGAGGGCAGGCCAAGCAAGAATTGTATGCTAATACCCTAAACTTCAAAAGTCCTTGATATCATCTAGCATGAATTAGCACAAATTGTGATCATCAAACATATATAGCCTCGTCTAACACTCATAAGAGTGTTCTTCATTTGGTATGTTTATTTTTTTCTCATCCTCAAAACTGAGGATGATCCTCTGTTTTAGAAACTTGGCTGGATTAATATCAAACATAATAAATTCGTATTTTAATGTTGGCAATTGCTATTCAGCAAATAAAATTGGGACTTAGAAGGTATTAATCATAGGCTGGTCAATCCATAGGCAAGCCATTGGCAAACACTCAGTATGTCTGTTGAACACTGAATACTCACAACTTTAAAAGCATTACACGAGCCTACAATTATCTCTCTGACCCTTCCCCAACCTGGTGTCCTTCACATATTTTGGACCATATGCCATACCGGCTGGAAATTCAGAGATTTAGTCCAGCATACAACATAGGGTTGACAAAATGTTATTTTATCATCAGAAGCATATATAAAGTCAAGCAAAAACAGCAGCAGTAAAGTTGAGTGTACAGGAAGCCCCCAACTTATGTCCACAACTTGGACCAGAACTTCTGTTGCTAAGCAAGGTGGTATTGTGGCCCGCTGGTGTCTGACGGAGCTGGCAGCAGAGTCGGACAGTAGTGAGGAGGTTGGGGAGGAACCTGGGCAGGGGTGGGATTCTACCGGTTCTATCCAACTCTGTAGAACCGGTAGCTCTGAAGAGCAGCAGACATAGAACCAGTTCTATGTCTGCTGCTGTTTTGGCCCACCTGCCCGCCCGGGCTCTTACCTGTCCTTTATTTCCTGCCTTTTCAACCTCAGCTCTTTGTGTGGCACAGCTGTGGTTGAAAAAGCAGGAAAAAAATGCTTTTTCAACCACTGCACACCTGCGCAGTGCTGCTCAGCTGTCCAGGCAGCAAGATGACGATGATTCACACACGTGCAAATCAAAAAATCACCGAACTGGTAGTTACACTGGTTGGATCCCACCCCTGCATCTAGGCCAGTCTTGGAGGCTGAGGAGGGTTCGGACAAGGGCTCTGCATCGGAGGCAGGGATGGGGCCAGGACAGGCTGGCCGTCATCAGCGGCCTTCAGACTCAGACAGCAGTAAGGCAGGGGAGTTACTGGAACCGGTTCCCAGTTTGCACAGGGCTACCAGAAGACAAGAACAATTGAGAAAGCAGGGTCGACTGAGGCCACACCTTGGAGATGATTGGCCCCTCCCATAGGACATAGAGGAGCGAACGGGATGTGAACTTTTGCAGGAAGCAATTAGTTCGTCTGGTCAATTCAAGCTTTGAAAAGTTCTGTTTGACTGTGTCAAGTTTGACCTTGCCCTGCATTTGGGCAGTTAGTTCTCTGGCAGCATTCCATGTGCCATAAGGTGGGTGTTTATAAACATTCCCCTGAAAGACTGTTTGTGAAGCCTTGCAGGCTGTGAATGAACGTAATTCAAAGCCATGGAAATAAAAGAGATTTTGCCCGAAACAAAGATTGTGTTTTATGCTTTCTAAGGAAGCCTAAGTCAGGACAGGTGGATGTTAAGTGAGTCACAGCTTCTGCTATTGACTTCGCTTGTTAGAAGCCAGCTGGGAAGGGTTGCAAATGATAACATATTTGCAACTGTTGCAAATGATAACATATTTGCAACTGTTGCAAATACATGCTGTTTGCCAAGTGTCCAAATTTTGATCAACTGACTGTGTGGGGATACTGCAATGGTTAAGTGCAATGATCAGTTTTTTTTCAATGCTTGTTAAGAGATGACCAGGGCTGAGCCTGAAGGAGCCAAACGTGTCATCAGTCATGAGTCCCTTCATGCCTACAAGAGAACTAAGTCCAGTCCACCTTGAATTCCTTAACCCTTATCTACAGCCAATTTGCTTTGACTGTTACTAGTTCAGATTCTTGTTAAGCTTGCAATAAATCTTTATACCCATTTGAACTGCCTGGATCACCTGATTTCCCTGGCACTTGACAGTGCTGTTGTAACTCTAAATCGGGGTCCCCAAACTAGGCAACTTTAACACTTGTGGACTTCAACCCCCAGAATTCTCCAGACAGCTTAGCTTTGTTTGGATTTGTTAAATCAAAGAAATGACACGGTGGCTCAGTGTAACATGGGAATCCAACTAAGAAGCCTTGTTTCTAATAAAATGGATTAGGTTGAACCTATTGTTTATAGTGAGAAAAGTGTTTATTTAGTATAACTAATCATTTACCACGTACCATGTTATGGTTTGATCCATGGTTAACCTGGAATTCCCCTTCAATTAAAAAAATAATGTTGTGGAACTACATTACTTTAGATCAATTCAAATTTCAAAAATGATCATAAAAATACCAGCAAAAACTAATTCCAAAAACAGTAGTCTATTTCATTTTGTTTCGAGATAATTTAAATATCTGAAGCATGTATAATTTTACAGGAAAAAAATTCATACAAAACCTGAGTTCTACTTGCTTTATGAATTCAGCTGCCCATAAAAATCATACAAGGGGTTTTACAAGCTGTTGCCCAAGAAAGCATAACAGCTCTAATTAGTACTGAATTGGACAACACTCCCAACATTTTCTCCAAATCATACTTACGAAGTCATTGCACATGCTCTCCAGTTCCTGTTGAAACTGAGGATGGTTTCCATGTCCTGCTTAGACAAGTCAAAGTCAAATACCTAGCAGGCAGGGGAAAAAAAATAATGGTAAGAAATTCTAAGAACTCCCAAAACCATAATTCTGTGGAATATGCTTGAGGAACCTTTAACATTGGGTGTCATATACTATATATCTTCAACTACAGCATTTATGAATCTAGTTTAGTACAAAGAATTATTGTCTAAAATTCCTGAAGGTCTAAGAAAGTACATCCCTGTTTTTCATTTATATTTACGAAGGAATTGATTTTCCTCCATTGCCAAGTACGGTTCAATGCCATTCTATGCCTGGTTCTGCTACCTACAGAAATATTTCAGCAGCACAGATTTGTATCGATCTGTCTACAATCCTCTGCTTCTTGAAAGCAGTTAAATTAAAAATAAACAAAACACTTCTCAATTTGCCCTGATCAAAACAAGCAGGCTACCAAAAATAAGGATGACATTAGACACAATCCATTCCCAGCACTTACAAAGTTAGTTTATAGTTGGTTTGGGCAATTATTTGACAACTCTGTTGAACATTCATAGCAGAGTCCATTGATATTATTTGACCTGAGCAACAAGAATATATTGTTTTTTTAAAAATAGTGATCTCAAAGCCCATAGCATAATTAGAATAATTATACACTTGCCGGTTATCGCTCAAGTTGGTGTTCCTTCTTCCCCAAAGACTGTAATTTTGGAACAAGTGAGCCACGGAAATTATAATTTCCTATTCTATTCTATTCTATTCTATTCTATTCTATTCTATTCTATTCTATAGTCAGAATAACATTTCACAAAACAGATCCTTTATAGCGGGAATTGAGCTGCCAAAATTGATGGTATCCTGAGGATTAAAAAATGTAGCTGGTATGGCCCTAAGTAGTCCCTTAGATAGCATAAATCAGTGTTTCTCAACCTTGTGACTTTAAGATCTGTGGATTCTAACTCCCAGAATTCTCCAGCCAGTGCTGGAGTCGCCAAGGTTGAGAAACTTTGGCGTAGGCAACTGATGTGTTATCCAACCAGCCCAGAAGAAAAATAAAAGAGAAATGAATGCAATTAATCTCTACATTAGCCGTTTTCCATCAAGTCCTACAACGCCAATAGTTGAGCACACATGTAATAGTTACATTCTTTTTTGCTGATCACTATGAACCTCCATGCAGATAATTCTTTGCCTATCAGCCTACCTTATCTTTACTGGGAAATGCAGTAACTGCCAGATACACAAAGAGTCCCAAAGCAATCATAAACAGCTACAGCTGGGTTGGGAAACATTTGCCTGTTCAGACATGTCTTCTATAACTCCAATCCACTCCAGCCGCCGATCAAGAAAAATAGGAACTGTATCAAACAATGCTAGCAGGGCTCAGGAAGTCTTATAATTCATTCAAAGCTATCTTTCAGTAATATCCATCATCTCACAATTGGGGTGAGCTGTTTCGTTCTTGGGAACAAATGGAGGGTCTTCAAGCCGAATCTTATTCATATTTTCTCACTTTTCATCAACTTGTGTAGACAAACTAACTTCAGAAGAGGAAAGCTGAGAGTAATTGCATTCATGTATTCTAATGCCTCATTTATTTTCACTCCCTAGTTTATTAAACAAGTCTCAATAATGATTCGTTTGATGCACTACTAAACCATTAATCTAATAAAACACATTAAGCTTAGTATGAACCCAGCCAGGTTTTTTTATGATGTTAAACTTCTTCCAAAGCATCTGTTTGGATGAGTAGTTGTTTTTTCTGAGTCTTGGGGTCTTTCCAACTTCTGCTATTAAATCCTATTACAGTTAGGCCTTGAGTGATGACTAAAACTGAGCCCAAAATTTCTGTTGCTAAGTGAGACAGTTGTGAAGTGTATTTTGCCCTGTTTTATGACCTTTCTTGCCACAGTTGTTAAGTGAATCACTGCAGTTATTAAATTAGTGATATGGTTATTAAGTGAATTTGGCTTCCCCATCACATGACCCCAGGACACTGCAAATGCCATAAATATGAATTAATTGCCAAGCGTCTGAATTTTGAGCAATGGTTGTAAGTGTGAAAACTGGTCATCAGTCATTTTTTTTCAGTGTTGGTCTAACTTTGAAGGGTCACTAAATGAATAGCTGTAAATCAAGGACTTCCTGTAAACTGCAGGAGTCAGAAGAGAAAACATCATAAAATATATGCTCTTCCATCTGTTGGAAGAATCTAAAGCAGGTGTGTCAAACTCAAGGCCTGGGCCAGACCTGCCCCGCAGGGTGCATAGATTTGGTCTGTAGACCCACCCTGGAAACAGTGGGGGACCGGCCCGTGGTGCCTCTGCCAGCTAAAACAGCCATTTCCAGCTGTAATGGCTTCCTGCAACCCTCTGCCAGCAAAAACAGAGCTCAGTATTTGCTGGCAGAGGGTTGCAGGAGGCCGTTGTAGCCGGAAACAGAGCTCAGGAGCCTGTTTTTGCTGGCAGAGCACTCGGGCTGCCATAGGTGCCCCGACATGAGTGACATTGAGCAGGCCATGCCCTCTAGCCACACACCCCCCCCCCCCCCCCCCCGAGGTCAAACAAGCCTTCAATAAAATCGAGTTTGACGCCCCTGATCTAAAGCATCAAATTTGGAATCTTATAATAAACAAAAAAATCTCCATTTAATGGATAACATATACCATGTGAGAGCCATGATGATGTATTTATTTATTAAATTTATAAGCCATCCATTTCACTGTCGAGTGACTCTGGGTGGCGTAGAATAAAACAATTAGAGTGTTAAAACAAGGAAACCCAAGTTCTAATAATCTCTTAGACAGGGAAGCAAGTCAGGCGTTTGCTGAATTTTGCTTTAGTTAAACCACAAGAGTGACCCACAACTATCTTTAGCCAGGAGTATAATTGCAACTAACCCCTTTTTTAGTGTCTAAAGCAGTATTATATTTATATCATATCATATCATCCTTAAGATGTGGAGACACTGGGAGGTCAAAAAATATCCAATACTAACCCAGACTACACCAATCACATATATTAGTCCACAACCTCCAGGAAGAACCCTTCATCCTAATAACATAACATAACATAATATATAATAAACATCTGCTTATCCTAGGTTCTTGGGAAGCACCCTATAGATAAAAATGCCAAATCCAATCTAAACATCTGGCTGACTGTGTGACCAACCACAATATGCTATGTAGGAATCAACTAATCCAGAAGTGGGCATTATTTTTTACCTTGAAGTTTTCTTCAATCCGCGATGGAGTGATGGACTTGGGAATCACAATTGTATTTCTCTGGATATGAAACCGGATCAGGACCTGAGAGCCAAGACCAGGCCAAACCAAGTAAGGATTACTCATTGGAAAATGTATATCCTACTCCCACTCAACTCATGTATGTATATGATCATGCTGACATGCAAACTCTTCCAAGAGCTCACCCCACCCCCCTCTCTCAGCAAAATGGATCATTCTTTTCTACACTGTTTGGTATCTCGGTTAGTACAGTCTACCTAGGAGTTATATTTAACTCCTTAGAACAGTGGCCCCCAACCTTTTAGGCACCAGGGACTGGTTCCATGGAAAGAGGTTTTCCACAGACCAGAGGGTGTGATTTTGTATGCTGCCTGCATCCCACAGATGAGGCTTTGTTTGCGCGGCCCAGTTCTGGCATGCTATGGCCCAGTGCCAGTCCATGGACTGGGGTTGGGGACCCCTACCTTAGAGAATCTGTCCTTCCAATAACCACTTGATATATGATATTTCCTACTTAACTGCACACATACCCACCTGAGCTGCAGTTTTATTATGTTTAGCTGCAATCTCTTTAATTTTTGGATCATCCAGGACTGAAGGATCTTCAGGCTTGGCCCTAGCATTAAAAGAAACCAAGGGTAGCAAATAATTAATAATAACACTAAGAAAATTTACATTTCACAGGAATAAAAGAATTGCTATCCAGCTGCAAGGCTAACTAGCTAGAATGGAAAATTACACATCATTACGGTATCTTGTAACATTTTCCCAAATCATCTTTTCTTCCTAATATATTATTTCATCCTCTATGAATGGCAAAAACGAAGATAAATTTTTTTTTAGTTCAATGAGATGATAAAAATACGGCTTAACATCTCATTAGCTTGAATGCATCTGGTGATTTTTGGAGAGCTTTCTTGCCCACACATAATATTTAGCTGAATCTTGGCTATTCAGTTAAAACATAATTAATGAAGAACCAGAAATAATTTATGAAACACATTGGGTAAATTCATATAACAGGCTAAGTAAACTAAGTAAGTTGCCTAGAGAAAAATAGGGAGCAAATAAATTTAACAAACAAACAAACAAAAACAAATGCTTATGGTCCCATGTATTTTGTATAAATCCAGTCTATGTGTAGGTTCATCAGGCACATTATAGTTTCCTTAGGTTTAAACTACGTTTACACAATAAACGCACTTGATGTGATTTTAGGTATCACATGTTGTATGAATCTAAATTTCTAACTTTTCTCTCTGTATCAAATCTGTCACTACCTTACATGTAACCTGTTACTTGCATTATCTTACACGTTTCCCTAATAATTACTACTGCTTCTGTTATTCACTGTTATATTACATTATGGTCACCATTAATAATCATTCTAATTATTTTTTCTAATGTATCTATATTCCTCTTACTAATCACAAATACAATTTTTGTAGAGAAAATAAAAAATGATTAAACCCATTAATCTGAAGATAGCTACATTATAGCTGGCAAAAATATCTCTCTTAATGCTTCTAGGTTTCCACAAGTAGATGTAGTGCGGAGAATCCATTTTCTTTCATCTGTTCAACTATATGTCCATCATCTTTTTTTTTGACAGATTATGATGGCTGGGAATGTTTGGCCTTGATTCAGAAATACCTGGAGAATGATGTTTCTCCATTTTGCTTTATAATTTGGGATTAGCCCACTTGTTCTGGACCAGAAGATGTTATGCTGCGGATCCTGACAAGCAAGAAATTTCGGCTGGCAGAGAACTTTTTCTACTGTGGCTCTCACCCTTTGGAACGTCATGCCCCTTGAGGTGAGATCTGCTCCCACCCTCTTGGCCTGAAAGGGCCTGAAAATAGCAATAGCATTTATATACCGCTTTACAGTGTTTTACAGCCCTCTCTAAGCAGTTTACAGAGTCAGCCTATTGCCCCCAACAATCCGGGTCCTCATTTTACCCACCTCGGAAGGATGGAAGGCTGTGTCAACCTTGAACCTGGTGAGATTCGAAATGCCAAATTGCAGCCGGCAGTCAGCAGAAGTAGTCTGCAGTACTGCACTCTAACCACTGTGCCACAGCCTTTGCCAACTGGTTTGATGGCCTGATGCAGGCATCCCAAATTGGAGGTGGTTAGTAGATTAGAAGATCCTACTTCCACCTATTTGTCCCTTTTATCTTATCTCTTGTTAATCTTTAGTGTTTTATTTTTAATGCTGAATGTTTTTAATGCTCTCGTTATATATTGTGTGGCAAATAAATGATAAATAAATAAAATAATTTCAGGGGCGTGCATTAGCTCTTGAGTCATTTCCATTTCCCATTTATGCATTCCAATGTGCGATTAATGATTAGCAAATCAGATGTTCGAGAACTCTCAGCTCCAGCATTTTTTGCTCAGTGCAAGAGTAAAAGACCGAATGTTCTCACCAGGGTCTATCTGGAGAGCCAAGGGGACTATAGGCTGTGACGGAGATCCCTTTGGACTGACAGTACTCAATCAGCTTTTCCTGAGTAAGATACGGGTGGCATTCAACCTACAACATATACAAAAATAGATGTCAGTATGTTTATTACCCCGAAACAGGTTGAAATTCAAAATGTTTCCCATTAAAAAAAAACAAAAATGATCTGCATTTGGGTCAAGTTTAACTGTGGACATAGCCAACTTCTTTTCACTGTGGGAAGAGAAAAACCATGTCCCATTTCAAACAGCTCGTTTCTTCAGAAAACACGATTGCCTTTTTAAAAGCTACATTGCCATCCATGTTAGATTTCAATTACAAGCCTTCCCTATATAATTGCATCCCACTGCAGCCCTTACTTAATGGTTAGCAGGATTTTAATGCTGAATTTCCTTACTGCTGCTTAAGAAAAATTAACAGGTAGCTCAATACTTTCCCTTAAAAAAACCCAATAACTTTATTTGTTGGTCTGGCAATTCTACCATGTTACACCATGATTTGTTTGATTTACAGCTCAGCAGGTTGTGTGACATCAACCATGTCTTGTTTAATCAATAAATCATGATTAAATGTCAGGTTAACGTGATGCTAATTGAAGTCGTCCTCTGGCCAAGAGAAATTCCACAATCATATTAATAGCAAGTAGAGAGAGGATTTTTGTCTCACAAAGGAAAAAATAAATTTGGAAATCCTAACACAAAAGTCAAAAGAATATATAACTTAACTGATAAAATTATGTCATTCATGCACTTTCACCGAGTCTCTGAAAAAAGCAATCGTTCTTGCAATCTTCATGTGGTGAGTTCTCCACTTGCTTGCAAGTGTACAGAAAAAACTGTTACTGTACTGTATACGGTCACATGACAGTTTACTTTATTTCTGGCTGAAATGATTATTAAACAGACACCGCTGAAACTTCTCAAAAATTCCTTGTATGAATTCTGATTATTAATTGGGAGGTAGTGATCGATTGGGGTTTGCAAGATACCTTGTTTCAGAAACGTCTAGAAATTCAAAATTTATTTGCAAAAAAGATACAGGAGAAGACGGTGCACAAGCATAATCCGACAGAACAGGCCAACTATATTTAGAATGTCATTTTACTCTAAAGCATCCTTCTCTGTCATCCAATACCTCCTTTCAGAATATATCATAGACTGCAGAAATGCGAAAAGGCAACAGTTTCTAATCAATTTGAATTTGTGATTGCATATATATAGATAAGTCTGATATTTCAATAGATGTTGATGACGTGCCTTCAAGTCGGTTTTGATTCCTAATGTTCTCAAAGACATTTTAAAAGCAGATCAAGACAAAAACATCTTGAGCTCCTCCAGAGATTCTCTTGTTCCAATGGTTTTAACTTATCGAGCTGTAAAAGTATTTTTTAGATTACTGAAAAATATCTAATTCCAGTGTCTGTCAGATAGGGTATTTTTCTAATGCCATACAAACTGGTAGATTCAATTTTTTACAAGTTCAATGATAATAAAGAAACACACCTTGTGGTTAGTATATATCACGTTAAATTTCAATTTGCAATTTCAATCAAGATTGCTCTGAAATTCAAATTAGAATGTGAATCCACTTTAAAATGTAGAGATCAGCTGTCAGTATGGGGATTAAAGAGAGAGAGGGTGTAGGACAATTGTACATTCATGATGATCTGATGATGTTACCTTGTTTGGTAATGAAATGTCTGCAAGGAAATCATCAAGTTCAGAGGGCACCAAGGACCCCAGAATTCGACTCTGGGCTACAAATATTCTATTGGTATGTTGTTTTTATCCTTATCTCTCTTTATAAATAACTCTTCATAATCCCCAGACCACTTCTTCCTATGAATTTACCTGGTTATTTGCAGGTTTGTACTTCAATTTGGGCTTCTTCAAGATTCTCTCCATCTGTTCATGGTTGAAGTTGGAAACACCAATTGCCTTCACCAATCCAACATCTACTAGTTCCTCCATTGCCTAAGGACATACCAAAGACCAAATAGGAGTTTAAGCAGTTACATATATCAACACAAAAATCTGCCTGATGTTAAGTCTTTTTAGGACTTCTCAAGGTCAGCAAGAGAAGAAGCATTACAAAGAGGTTCACATTCAAAAACATCACTAGTTGCAACCTTTCTGTAATTCTACCACTTACAACATGCAAACTTCTGAACACATCAGTTTTCATTCTTTTTGTATAATAATAATAGTAATGATACTAATAAGGATAACAACAACAACTGATGTTTTCCAAGCCCTCTCTTAGAGCGCCTGAATCATAATTGCTATAAGCCATGATTGTTCTATAAGTCAAATCTGGTTGAGTTCATACAACATAATTTGAAACTAAAGCAGATTTTGTCATAAATGTCCCAATTATAGGGACTGGCTACAAGAGAGTTTCAGAGGGAGAGATGAGGCAGATAAGCAATCCAACTTCCAAAGTTAGAAGGATGGATTATAACTCTGCCAGCAGTTAAGAGCATAAGCATCAGCCAATTCCAGTTATTACATCCTATTTGTTATTTAAATATGCTTCAAACTAGAACAGAAGGTGTGCAGCTAATAGAAATTTAATTGTACATATGTGACTTTTCAGGATGCTTTAGTTGATCAGTTCTTTGTGAATGTACTGTTCTGGTTGGGTTATTGTG